CACACACACACACACACACACACACACACACACACACACACACACACGTTGGCCTCTTGCAGGGAAGACACCCCCACATCCCCACCCCCAGGCTTTAGTGAACATCAGGCCATTCCTTCAACTCTGCTCACTTCAGTTCAGGAGACCCCACTGTTCCAACTGACCCAACACAAGCTTAGCCAGGCCTTAGACCCCATTAATAACAGACCTCTCAAAATGACCCCAATCTCCCAGCAATTCTCTACCTCCCCTTTATGCTGAGCAAATGATTTATCCACAGAAGCCCGGAACCAGGGTTATGGGACTGCCCTGCAGGGAGGCATCTAGAGGTTTACAGAAGTGATGCCTTACAGTACTTGGGAAGAGGTGCAGGCCAGAGGATAAGATGAAGCTGGATGAGGAGTGGAGTCCAGAGCTTGACTCTCAGCTAGAATGGCTGGTACCAAAGACAGGAGCAAACTCGGCACCTTTAACCAAAAATGTCCTACACAGCCCCAGCAAGGCATTCCCAGACAGAAGCTGGCCTGCTGTTTTGAAAGAACTGTGGTCAGAAGGCTGGTGCCTTTAAAAAGCTGAGGGCCATGCAAGAGTGACTGGCATCAATTTGCTAATACATCAAGTCTAATTTTCACACATTCTAGGCTTTTCTAAGCAGAATTGGCTGTTGGGGAAAATGTCCTGTGGGGAAGCGAGGCAAGTGTGTGCATTCCAAGTGTCTCACTCAGAAATGCCACTGGTTCAGATGGTTTTACAGACAAGTTTTTTCAAACCATTAGGGGACAGACAATCCCTTTGTTTTCTAAACTGTTACACAGGAAAAAAAAATCTGAGAGATTACACCAAAAAGGAGAACTGCAGATCAGTATAGAACACTGGTGTCCAGATAATTTAATATGGATTATTTGAAAAAGAGGCTCTATAGTCAAACAGCTTGAGAAAGTACTTCCATTTATAGTCTACCTTTTGGAAAATCACAATAAGTATTTATATATTAAAGTCTCTGTGAAGTCCAGGGGTAAAGAAACTGTTTAACTTGGCATTTCTCAAACTCATCTGAGCCAGGACCACCTTCTGAAAGTTCTCCAATTATCTCTAATATGTGAATCACTACTATAGACCAGCCCACTTAAGTATATAATAGTTGTAAAGCTACTAAACAAAATTTTAGCAGTTTGAATCCAACTTGATGTAAAACAAGTCAAAATCCACCATGATCAAGCAAGATTTATTCCAAAGAAAAATTCACCATCAGGGAATCTATAAATTGAGTGCATTGTTAAAGAAAAATAAATCACAGGGTATTTCAACAAGACAGATGCTTTAAAAGTATTTGATAAACTTCAACACCAATTATAAATTTTTGAAAACCTTTTAGTAAACTAGGAAGAAAATTTAAACTTCTTAACATGATAAAGTTTATCAGAAGCCATCAACGAACATATTTAATGGTGAAACACTAAAGGTATTCTCATTTAAGTCAGAAACAAAACAAGGATGCCTGCCGTAGCTGCTAGCGATTAATGCCAATGCAATAAGATAAGAAAAATAAATAAGAAACATATTGGAAAGGAAGAGACAAAACTGTCATTATCTGTTCATGATTTAAGTGTGTACCTAAAAACAAAAATTGAAGAGAATCAGCCAAAAATCTTAAAGATTTTGGTGAAATGGCTAGTTATAAGGTAAACACCAAAATCAATGGCTTTTCTAAATGTGAAGGGAAAAGACTTCCTTTCCACTGAGAGAAACTTCTGTGTTCTTTTTGACTCTGGCTGATTGCAGAGAGCAAATATTTCTATGTGTTCTCCCGACATGTGGCAAGTGGACCTGTTTCTTGTGCAGAGAGATACTATTGTACAGCTACCATAGAGGTAAATCTCTCCAGTTCAGGGGGAAATATTATAGCAAGTCGACTTCGCTACAGATCAAAAGCTACATTTTTCTGTCAATTTCCAGGACCTTTATCTCCTATGTCCCTTTCCTATATCTATGCCTCAGTTTCTTCCAAATTCAGAAGAGGGAGAGAGGTATTACTTATAGGATCCCCTAAATATAGCACTAAATACCAGTGATTTCTATTTAGAAAGTATGATTTTTTTAAGAAAATTATATTCACATTGGCAATGAATATTATAAAATAGCTGGGCTTAACGTTAACAAGAAATGACAAGGCCCATAGAAAGGAAACTATAAAACCTTACTGAAAAAACATAAAAGAAGTCCTTAATAAAAGGAAAAACATAATAAATCCCTGGGGAAGAAGTCTCAATATTGCAAAGATGTCATATCTCCCCTAACTCAATTTATCAATTTAGTGGAATCTAAATCAAAGAACCAATATGATTTGGGGAATGTGATGCAATGGAACATGACAAAATTATTTTAAAACTGATTTGGACAAATAAATATGGGAAAATATGCAGAAAATTTTTGAAATTGAATAATAGTATTATATTAAATTTACTATAAGAATAATAATGAATATAAAATATGAAACTTACATTATAACATATTTTATATATATTTTATATCATATATTAATATAGTAACTTACATTTTAATATCTGTTAGAGCAGTAATACTGGTTATCTAACATATTAAAATATAACATAGGGGCCCCTGGGTGGCTCAGTTGGTTGAGGGTCTGACTCTTGATTTTGGCTCAGGTCAGGATCTCAGGGTCCTGGGATCAAGTTCCTTGTTGGGCTCCGAGCTCAATGGGGAGTCTGCTTGAGATTCTCTCTCTCCTCTTCCCCCTCCCATCTCTAAAATAAATTAATCTTTAAAAAATAATAAAATATAACATAAAACTTCAGTAAATAAAATTGTGGACCACCAGTGTAGGAATACACACTTTTATCATATATTGAGTTCCCTGTTTATAAATGCTTTGTTTCTATCCACTGATCCATTTGTATATTCCTAATACTCCACTCCAAGCCATATTATCTTGCACAGATCACTTCGATAACATCCTTACTAGTCTCCTGGCTTTGCCTCCATTCAAACAATGGAAAACAGCAGCCAGAGTGGTGATCATTAAAAAAAAAAAATAATAATAATAATAAAAAAAACAGCAAGTCACTTCCTTTCTTAAGGCCCTCCAGTGACTTTCCAAAAAATAAAATAAACTCAAATGCTCCAACACAATGCAACCGACCAGATCTCTTGCTCTCTGGACCTTGCCTGCCCCTCTGTCTTCTCAGTTGCTCTAGCCATACTGGTTTCCTTTTAGATATTTAAATATGAAAGCTCTTTCTTCCCTGAGGGATTTCACCTAGAGCATTCCTCCTCACCATCTTTACAGGGCCTGGGCCCTTCTCATCCTTAAACTCTCAGCTAAATGTCACCTCTTTGGAGGCCTTCGCTGGTCATCTAAGCAGCTTCATATTGTATTCATACCACATCTGTTCATTTTCCACTTATTCCTCATCACAATATGTAACTATTTACTATTTGTTTACCTGTTCAATTCTCAGTCTCCCCACCAGACTAAAAGCTCCACCATGGTATCTGCTCATCAGGCACAAAGGTGCCCCATGTACTAGCCCCTCAATAAACATTTGTTTAATACATAGATGTGTCAACATTTAATATGTGCATACCCTCTGTCCATGTCTAACAGTCAGGCAAGTGCACACAGATGTATGTT